AAGTGTGAAGATTTTGGAAATGACAGCTCTGTTTGAAAATCCACTACAAAAGTACAGGAAAAGGGCAATTTTCCTTTTTTTCCTGCCTCTTTTCCAGGATACAATGTGCTGCTAAAGGACCATTAAAACTGAGAGGATGTCCTAAAATAGAGACTTGACTCTGACTTCTTTAAGAGTTGCTCTTTAAATATTATATCCATCCCACACTTTGTCTGTGGTTGAACTGACATCTTGAGTTTTAAATAAAAATCACTTTAAACACAGAGATAATTTTAACTGAACTGGCCTTGTCCTTGTTAACATCATCTGTATTTCTTCAGGGGATGTTCTGCTGAGCATCAACGGTGTTGATTTGACTCAGCTGACCTACAATGAGGCCGTTTCTGTGCTGAAGGCTCAGACGGCTCAGTCCCAGGTGGTGCTTCGTGTCATTCAGACTCTGTCTGAGGAGTCAGAGGAGGACGCCGAGGCTAACGATGACGAACTCGACATTGCAGAAGACTCACGAGACGACAGCCTCAACTGGACCCCGCTGTGGACTCGCTGGCTGGGATTACCAAGGTAAAGCCAACTCAGTATAATCATTTATATCACAGTCATAGTGCTGTTTGAGCTGACTCTGACTCGTTTCTTCAGTCACATGCACTGGTGCCGGGACATTGTCCTGCAGAAGACCAACAACGAGAGCTGGGGCTTCAGCATCGTTGGGGGTTATGAGGAGAGCCACGGGCAGCAGCCGTTCTTCATCAAAACCATTGTGCCTGGAACACCGGCTCACTTTGATGGACGCCTCAAGTAAGTTAACCACATTTTGACTCCCATGTTACATCATCCGCTCCTGCATCTTTTCGGCACCGACCCTGATAACGAAAATGTCCCGTGGCTTTCTCAGGTGCGGTGATGAGATAGTGGCGGTGAACGGAGCTACAACTGTGGGAATGAACAACTCCTCTCTCATCCCAATGCTCAAACTACAGAAGAATAAAGTCACGCTGACTGTGGTGTCCTGGCCGGGAAGTCTAGTATAGCAAACCTCACGTGCTCATTCTGTGATCTCCTTTCTTTCTTTACTGGGAATCTCACTGTCCCTTCCACATGTAACCCGTTGAGATTTTTGAGGTCATGTCATACAGAAGATGCGTGTTCTTCAAAACCATCCCATGTACGATAGATGATTTTCCATAGGTGGACTGTTTTTTGCGATATTGTCGTGTAACAATGATGACAATCCATGAATTATGTGCTAAAGACAAACTGGAAGGATTCGTGTTTTTTGGAGTGTCTTTCTGATCCCATTTTAAAGTTGTATGTATATTTTTAGCTTATCTGCCTAATGTTTTATTTGGTCGTGATTACATCTTAGACTGTGTACAAAAATGTAGCTTTAGGGTCTGCAAAGTGAAACTAATGCAGAAGTGCCTTCTTTCTAATGACCTGCAGGGGGCGACTTCATTGGTTGCAAAAAGACATCCCGTTGTACAGAAATCTATGGGAAGATGCCCCCTTTTCTATAACCTCAATGAACATTTTCCTTATGAGTTTATGATCTCCGTTGCTAGTTTTATGCCTTAATGAATATAGCATATAGTTCATCTTGTAAATTATCGTCTTATTTGGAGTGAAACAGGACGATAAAGCAGGGAACGCTTTAGAGCAGACCTGCCTTGTGACTGACAAGTGACTGAATGTGGAGTGTCCTGTGGATTTTCAGTCGGATCCTCACCTCACTCGTCACATCCAGTTATAAAAACCCAATATGGTGACCGCTAGCCCCCTCAGCTCGAGTCTGCACAATGGGACTACGACACAACGGCTGCATCTATCCTTTGTATACAGCCTATGGATGGTATTAGATGTTAAGTACATATGTACATAGTTGAATTGCGTTATTGTTAACAATATGCTGACACCAAATATTTCAGGAAAGTGAAGTCTTAAGTTGATTTAAATTGACATTTTTAATTTAAAATTAGCATCTACATGGAGAATATCAGCAGTGAGATTTTTTTTTTCTTTTTTTTGGACAAAACTAATTTTAAAGGATTTTAAAATGTCAGAAATATTTGAAGTCTACATCATGACAGTAAAGATCGCGCTTCTTTACTCAACAAATATGTGTAGAGCGTTTAGTCAGCATTGTGTTGCTAGAGGTTTAATTCCTGTAAGCTCTTAACAGGAAACTTAAACCTGTGTTGTGAAACTCTTAAGCTGGTTTAAAAGAAGCTAATAGATTATTTGACGAACGTTGAGTTTTAATCTAAACTTTCTAATCTGTATTCGCTGAATATGTGTACGTATATCATCTTTGTTTCTTTCCAAATGATAAAGTTGCTCATAATGAACGAGTTTAATAAGCAGGTGCCTTGTAGATATCAAAGGACAAACCAGAATCTATATTTGCCTTAAATGTTTTGCTCCACCAAAAATGCGTTTTCCTCATTATTTGTTCTTCTCAATATTTACTGTTTGTGGGAATTCGAAGCCTTGCTCTGATAGATCTGTGTCGACACATTCCCGGTGGCCTTCGTTGCATCTTTATAGATGAGATACCTGTTGACAAGCTATGGATGGCTGTAAAATTTACAGCAGGTAATGTGTGTATTAGCCACAGTTTCATTATGTTCAATAAAATCATGAAATCATTCCGTCTTTCTGTTATGAATGTTCTGTACACTTTGGGCTTTTTGGGGAGGAACGTTAAGTGTAGTAAAGGCACAGCCACCCTTTATTTATACTTGATGATGGATGGGTAGTTTAGAGGGGATTACAAATACACCAGTATTCACAGAGGAAGGGTGCAAATGTTAGAAATAAGTTATTACAGTTACTGATGTTGGAAGTCTGTGGCTGGACGGTTTATTAGCCTGTTCACTCTGACCCCTAGTGGACACAAGGACTGAAGTGTCCAAGGTTTCCAGATTCCAGCCTGTAAAACCTTTAAAGTAACCATGGTATCCATGTATTAAAAAAATAAAACTATTGTTATTAATCTTGTGCTTTATCACAGGCCTGTTATGCAATTTTAAAATCATGCTCTAAAGTCCTCAACAGTGATTTCTCACAATTATGATTTGCCAGTTCTCTCAATAAAATCTTCACTTCATAAGCACTTACATACCACCAACTTACTAGTTTTATTTCTGTCTATATTGTGAAGGTTAAATAAGTTTTAAATATATATACATCTGTCATTAAAAGCCTGATGTTTTAATCCCCCAAAACCTAAATGTATCCGTATATTTACCACACAGGGAATCTACTGTCAGACTGTAGCATGTCCCCAAGTTTCTCATAATTTAAAGAAGCTTTTTAGGATGCCATATGTTGCAATACAATTGATATTTCTACTTCACACTACTGCAGCAGTGAAAGGTTACTGAACACTTCCTCGAGCTAAACCAGGAGAGGCTGTGAATGTGAAAACAAAAAGCACAGAGGACCATAAAACCCTCCACTACAGTACTTGTTGTGGTCAGGTACAGTAGAAACTGTATGTTCGGCTTGCTGCCTGCTGGTCCGTGTCATTAGGAAGCAGCAGTACGTTATGGTAACAGCATTCCTGAGTTGTATATATGTTGAGTAATTGCAGGCTGTCTTGTTAAAGTTAACGATTCACCACCTTGTTAAACATGACAAACAGCCACATTTTTCATGGCGGGGCAGCAGGCTGTGGTCAAAGTGCATCAGCCAAGGTCAGTCACAACCTGCTTCTACCAACATGACACACCACAGGTTTCATAAGGGGGGAAAAATAAGGAAGTGGCAACAAATTAAATTCAAAATTGACAATTTATTTTCTCTCCATTGGGATTAGGTCACCATGATAAACACTTACAAAACAAAATGTAACAGGGACAATACTGGGAGCAGTAAACTCTCCTTTGTACGGGAGAACAGATTTCAACCTGCACTTCTCTGTGGTTTTCAACTATACCAGAGGCACTCTAATACAACGCAATGCAGCAATCTTTTGACTAAGATTCTGAAAAACAAAACCAACACTTGAAAGTATGAGTGAAACAAAGAAACCATCAGCTCAACACACCAGGATCTGTAGAAGCATGTGCTTCCTAACACTTCAGGAGGACCAAACACAGCACAGGGAAAAGTACAAAACTACAAAATTAATACAAAGTTAGTGGGGGTGGGAGAGAAATGAGTCGAAGTGCAGAGTTCAAATTCAAATCTTCCAATCATCTCCGTCTTTAACGGATGACGAATCACTGAATGTCATCTTAATTGGCAAAAACCGCATGGTAACATGCACTGCTGTTGTCACCGGAAGAAAACTCAGGATCCACTCCGGTCTGAAATCCTGAACTTCATGTGCAACAATCAGTCCCAACTCTGGCATCAGGTACATAGTCACTATATGGCTTACAAGATAAACAGGTCCATATAAACTAGAAAGGTACGTAGACATCTTTCATAATCAAAACTATTGTACAGCAATATATTGGCAAAAAAACTAAAGAGCTAAGTAACTTTATGTAAACAATGGTATACCACTGTACAGCTTATTCTAACATGGTATTTACAGGTCAAGTTCTTACTAGCTAGTTCCCATGTACAGAGGGTTCTTGTAAGGACAAAACACGGGGTGATGACGTACACTGTACGTTAGGCAATCTCAACCATCCCATCTACCTGCAAAGAACTGGATTAAAAGAGGGGAAACCCAACAAACAGCATCTGAGCCTACAGACTTGTTGAATTACCCAAAGCCTTCCTCCTCCTGTTACATGTAGTTTCTATTTTTTTTTTTTAAATCATACATAAGGCAAGGATAGTTACGGAAGGTGGAGGCATCACATTCTTTGCGAGGGATTAGTGATTTCATAGATGGGATACAGGCTGATGGGTCTTTGGGGTAAATGCACTTTTTGAGAGTATCACTTGTTTTGTTTTTTTCTCACATGTAACAAAAACACGTCAGAGTGCAACAAAGGGAACATGTGTAGTTCTGTCGGGAAATGTGCAAAATCTGCTCTAAAGCAAAGTGACAGTGTTGCAAATTTTAATGTACAAGGTACTGGGAGATTTACAGGGTCGTCACGAGACACGGCGGCGCAGACCCTTTTTTTCCAACATACTGTATATACAAGGCACTAAGGATAAGATTCAAGGGCCACTCATCCAGTCTGGCAACGGCCTCGTCAGTCTGGTCGGAATATAGGATATTTGGGTAGGAATTCTATAAGAATCACCTGAAGAGAGGAAAAACACAATTTCGCAAGGTTAAAATCCAACTGTGTTCATCGGAGCACAAACATTACTAGTTACTTAACTGATCTCTTTATTACACAGACAAAGACAAAGTAATCAAAAGTTTAAGTGAGAGATTTGAGTTTCTCTGGATTTCTCTGAAAATCAGCTGCGGGATCGCTCACATGCATGCGGCCTAGCAAATCATTTAAACCAGCGGGGGTTGGTTAAATAGGAAGAAAAGCCTGTCGAAGCAATGACGACCAGCAGCACCGCAAACAACACACACCACCTCTCTAAAACTGTTTCAACAGTAACTACACATTACAACCTTCATGAAGAGAGGATTTATAACACAATGAATGTATTTGGCTGCATTTAATTACGCCAAGTTACTACATAAACAGACAGACTTTATACGTCATATATTTTTCTTGTTTCGCTGACTTTTATATTTACATTTAGTTGGAGCTGGAAAGGTGGTACTAAAAACCAACTAATTCCTCATTTATTAAGTACAAACTTTCTTTTTTACTTTGAAAGGTTTCTACAAATTCACAATTAAATATCAGTTCATTCTAGCAAAGCACTAGAAAATGAGTCATTATTAAATAATCTGCAAATAACACTTATATATTTATATAACATTTCACTTCCCTTTTTGGTCCTTTGTCATAGAAACTGCTCATCCTTGATTCCTGGACTTTTTTTTTTATTAATCTATTTTACCGAAAAACAATTGAGCAGCTCAAAATGATCTGCAGATTGATCAGTAAAGGGTATAGTTGAGAAATCCATGCCTACTTACATATTCCATCATGTTACTGCTTTCACATTTTCTTTTACTGAGCTTCCAGTGCAGCCCCAGCTGATGAAAGAAAAAAAAAAAGACACAGATACAATGAATGGACATCTCCCTCACTCTCAAACAGACACAAAGACGCGCACACAAATGCACAAACAAAGGAAATCTTCTCTTCAGTGTCAGGGGAATTCGAGAGAAGGACTGTCTGGTCTCGCTGGGGTCAAACTGTGGCCAGACACCCTGAAGAGCTTCCTTTATACCTTTGCACGGCTACTAGCTGTAATTTGTTGCTGCGAGACAAAACAAAATTAACATGGACTTTTACTGCTGACCTCACGGTCCTTTCAGGCACTGCGTACCAGATTGCACCAGATCTGACTGGCGGGTTAAAACTTACACAACAGATTAATGATGTTTATCCATCACGATGATACTCATCTTACACACACTGACACAGACCAATTAAGCACTTTTACTCAGGTGCAATGTAGCCATCTTCCTTACCTTATGGTATAGTCGGTTATTTTCCCACTCTAACAGCTTCTGAATAGACCGCCTCGTCTTCGGGAACAGACCAAAGAGGGGGGAAAAAAGGGGCATGCCCGTTAATTCAAACAAAAATACACATTACTCAGTTTAACACGTGAACAGGTAACAGTTAACAGCCACGGTGTTAGGATTTATGGACTGAACTCCCAATTTACCAGCTAGTAATTTTCACTCTGTTGTCAGCAACTCTCGAGTGGTAATACCACCCTTGAGCTGAGCAAGAGAGAAGCAACGCCACGCAATGCATCATTTCTACACAGAGCCACCAATTGAACGCAAGTCGTTATTACCGTCTACACTTAGACCAATTGCTATAACAGCCCCTGAGTAATCAGCACTGATGTAAGGGAGAGTTAAACTGTCCAGGTCGTGTCACAGGAGATTTGAGACTTACTCTCTTGTTGAGGCAGATAACGGGCCATAGGCTGCAGCCTACTGTACAGCAACAACACAGGCAGCCACAAAGAAGCCACTTCACATTCACAGGTAAGTTCTTCTTCAAACAAGCGTTCACCCTGCTGATGCTGGTTTTGAATTCCTCTGGTGCTACCTAAAGAAAAAGGGACAGGACACGTAGTGAAATGAACATGGGAACTTCTCAGAAAACGAGGACGTTGGATAATTCGATTCTTTCTTGGTCACGTTGACTTGAAAAGATTTCTCAATGCACAAAAGAAACCTGTGTACAAGGATCAAAGAGCTTTAGGAAACCAAACAGGTAGATATTTGCAGATGTTGTCCAGAGATGAGATCTAAATACATTCCCCCAACTTGCTAACCAGGCTTTGGACTGTTCAAGGCAAGGAGGGACTCAAAGGAGAGATAAGCTCAGTGCCTGTGGCAGCGCCGGCCAAACAACTTGAATGGATGCTCATTCCTCTCTGAGCCTGTACGCCATAAAACAGGGGTCGTAATCTTTTATGACAGGATGCAAAGGTCTCTTTGCAAACAGCCAAAGACCACAGAATAAAGCCCAGCAGGGCCTGATCTGCACCCTTCAATCATCATAATTGTGACCTCATCCATCACATGTCACCCTGGGTCACAATACCGAAGGTACTTTTTATTGCCCCACACTTCCCTCGGCCTGCTCTTCCCCCTGCAGCCTTTTTGTGTTTCTGCGTCCGACCCAGGAAGCTTTCCTTTCTTGTCTACGGCAGAGTCTTCATTTCATTATTTTATCACCTGGTGCTGGACCCTCCGAAACACTGGGCGCCAACTGAGCACCATAGCCAGCTTACTCATTTACAGAGTTGGACAGCAGCTCCTTTTCTATGCAGTGTGGTACGCTACTTATAATGAATTTCCATCAGATCAAAACCCCTCACGGAAGGCTGAATGGGGAGGACTGGGGAAGTTAGGGCTGTAAAAAGCCCAAAAGAACAAAGGAAGCACTGCAGCTTTGATTGCTCAATTCTTCCCACTTGGATTTGAACAGAAAGCAGTCTGCAAGACTGAAGTGCAAGAAAAACTTAAAAAGCAACTGTACCTTTCCCGTGAGAACAGAGGGAAATTCTGTGTCAAATCTGTTGCTCAGTCCAAACCTGAAAAAACAAAAAAACAAAACAAAACAGAGCAGATATGTCAAAAACAAACACCCAATAACAACAAAAATTAATCTAAAGCTAAAATATATTAGCTGCTCCTTATTTAACAACATTTACCTATTTTAATTATAACTGTATGACAGAAAAAAGGACAATATTAATCTAAAGATAATGTCAGCAAAGACTGTTTCCTATTTCTGTATGGTGTGCAGGCCCACTGTAGAGAGATCATGCTGCACTCACATGGGTTAAAGACAGTCTTGACTTTTGTCTCAGTGTCTCATGACAGGCTTAAGCAAAAGCATTAATTTTATCTACTGTTTTTAAAACAGTAGATAAAATGCACTTATATGTCACCACGTACACATGTTGACTAACACTGCACAACTGAGTAATAAGATGACATTCATCAATGGTGGGTATTTTTATATTGATCTGCTGTTTCAGTTCTTCAGTGGATAAAGTAACCCTTGTTAAGACAAGGATTTCATTAATTCTCTCCCTGGCTCAAAAAGATGGAATATCTGAATCAGATTGTCACCACTGGAATCAGCCAAACTGCTATTTTCAACATTAATAATTGAGAATCAGTGCGGCTTCACTTGGAGGTTACTTTATTTCTTGATGTAAAGAAGGATGAAAGAGCGACATCCATGGGATTCTGTATGATTGCTAGTCCATTGATTAAATAACTGTCAGCAAGTCCTTGTATTTACTTGATATTTGGCATGCAATCAGAACTTATCCCTAAAAATCTGATAACAGCCTTATCAGTACCCGAGGATGACTATTTGAGTCTGAAAAAGTTCTGCAGAATAAAATCAGCAGGGTGCAGCAATCCTCTAGCAGCAACAGCACCCTTCCAAACAGCTGATTATGTTTTCAAATTTGGGCCTTTTTCTGTTGTAGTTATTCTTAATAGCATCCACGTGTCAAGTTGAAGAAAGCTTCCAGCTTGGCCTCGGCATCAGCTCATGAGGTGAAGGATGAAGATGAAGGGTGGATCTGATAGCGATGACAGTAACTAACATCATCTTATTAAGTCCTTCTGAAGGTTGGACGTGCTTCAGGCTCTATCCCCCATTAATCAACATGATAAAGTGCAAAGGTCTCCATCATATATAGGCAGTTAAGGGACAAACAATTGTGAAACCTACAGTAACCATTGCGAATTAGCCCACGACAGGTAATGTAATGCGAGTCAAAACACAAGGATCATGATAAAAGAGCATCTCACGTAAACTTGACCAACGTTAACAACGGCTGCCCCTGCCAAGTTTTAGGTTGCCATGCTGACATAAAGTCGTTAACGTGGGTTTACGGGGAAACAGCTATACCCTCGACCAAACATATGGCTAACTGTTTTGATTTCCGTTAGCTCGCAGGCTAGCCTCAGCTAAACAGGCGACACCGGAAACAGAAAGAAAGCACAAACGTGACTCCACTTACACCGTGATGTGCCCGGCCCCTCGCATAACCACGGGCTCCGGACAGTATCTGGGCAAGTGCTCTTCGCTCACTACGTGCTCATCCTCTTCGTCTTCTAACTCATAAATGGTATCAAAGTCCGCCATGTTGGGTAGTAAGACGCTCATGACGTCTACGGCGGGGCCGCGCACGGACGCACGAGGCCACGCGCGCGAGAGAGCCACACAGCGTGCATAGAGGAGAAGAAACCATCGCCCAGCTGAGTCCTGAAGGACCAAGCCTGGTATTAGACCGGAAAAATACATGTATTTAATAATCCACGGTAATATTTGTGTATGTGCAGGTGTGTGTATGAGTGTATACATAGGAGGATGGGGATTATTGTTATTACTCTTATTATTAGCTGTTAATTTTGGTCCCATCCCCAATTTGATCATTAATGAAGTATAGATAATTCACATATCCCCAATATTCCCCAGTTCTATTTTTTTTTTTTTTCATTTTCCCCACTTGCTCTTGTCCTTGTTTGTATTCTGTGCCTTGGCCCGTCTCGAGATGTATTTTTCCAATGGGAGAATATGTCAGAATAAAAGTTTCATATTCGGGGATAATCAATGAACTTCCTCATTTCAGACATATGCAGAGGGTCAAAGTCAGGAACACCCCGTAATAAGCAACATGTCAGCTACAGAGGCTTGAACTACTCACTTTAAATGACAATAACCTGCTTTGCTGACCTTTTCCAGACAAATGAAACTGCACCCTAGCATAGGCTTAAATCTACAATGTGAACCGGTCCAAATGGATCAGAAAATTAAAAATCCCATTTAACTCTTTTGTATCTGATGCTTTTGTATACATTTACATGTATTCTTTTAGCCACATACTGAAAGGCCAAGCTTTGCATGAAAACTCTCTGTTTATTGCAAGGCTACCGACTCTTTTCATGTTTACACTTGTCAAATCTTTTTAAATTCCAAATTAAAAGTAGATACATTGAAATGACACAAAATTATGCATCAAAGGGGGAAAAAGCCTCACGGATGATGTCCCTGGCTTTTTAGAACTTCTTGCAGTTCAATTTTAAATAAAAGGCCATGCTGAGATGATACTTCCCTGGTTGATATACCAGTGAACAGGCCTGCGGGTAGTTGGTTAGGTTTTTATTCTGTGAATCCCAGATGCACAACAATTCAGAAATAAAGAAATTGACAGATCTACTGCAAAACACCTTTTATTTACATTTTCAAAGTTGCCATTAGACGACCTCTCTACCCGTACCATCTGTTTGATTGATTCACAAAACTGTGCTTGAAAGCGTAAACGATTTGTCCAGTTAGATTTAGCTTCACGAGGTCCAGTGTAATACTTCAATGGCATGTCCCTGATTTCTCACGTTATCCACAAACACATGCACGTCATACCAAATACAAAAAAAGATAGGCTATTTATATCTTATTAACTCACAAACGTTTTAAAACAGTTTAAAAAATACTTCGATTTTCTCCCCCCATTTCGTTAAAACTATTCTATAAAAACTAATATTTGAAGAGCCTCCAGCGTTTCCTTGCTTTAAAGCAGCTGTTTATCCGCAGCTTTGTGCTTCAGGACTTGGGTTCAGATCCTCTGGCTTCCTGTCAAGTGTCCTGTGAGTGCCCACTTATGTGAGATCGTCCTCAGGGCGAGCTGTTCTACTGAGTCACAGTCACTTGCTGTATATTCCTGATAGAGGGCAAGGTGTTCATTCCCTGAGGAGGGTACATAGAGCCGTGGATGTCCGTGGGACTGAGAGACCCCGGAACCGGCAGAGGGCTCACTGAACCCGGGTCACTGTGCACAGACCCGCTGCTGCCGTCGGACTGACCCAACTTTTTCTTGATCAACTTTCTCTCTTTAGCTCTGCGGTTCTGAAACCATATTTTCACCTGAGGAGACGCAAAAAGAAAGAAAGAAAGAAAAATTAATTTGATGAATATTTTCCTGTTCATACAATTTGATAATTAATATACAGAGCAAATAACGTGTACATCAACAGGTCCACAAAATAGGCCTGAAAATCAAGTATATAACCCAATACGCGCCATTGCTTTTTCATTTTATTCTCTATTTTATAAAATTAAATTAAATAAAAACACCCAATTAGAAACGTTTTCCTCGAGTTTGGGCGTTCCCTATCTTTTCTCTATTTTGTCCACTGGCATAATGAAAAATAAAATAAAATCCAGGTCTGTAAAAATAGGCCTTGAAAGGAAATAAATAATAAATAATTTGTTGTTGCATTTCTCGTATTTTTTATTTATTTATCTTTTTAGTAAGGCATTACTCTGACATTTTTAATTCTCTGATTTATTTATTGTCATAGAAAATTAACAAAATTACATTAAAATGTTGAATGTTTACTAAATTAAGCATTTAATAGAATAATTTCAAACAGAAATAATGTGAAAATGTATAATACAAAGCGTAATTAAATCACCGAAATAGCTACAAATAATTTATGTTTCCAATCATAAATTATTTGCAGACCCTCCCTGTCCAATAATGAATTTATGCGGCTGTAACATAAATACAGGCACAATTTATTGCCTGACAATACTGACCTACTTTTGTGGTTAGAAGCACATGTAAACATGCAGCTTATTTTACGTATTTATATATTTTTATGCCATGTGATAATTCTTTCATATGGAAATTACTATATAGGTATATTTATATGATATTAATTGTCGTTTCTTTAATCAATAAAAGGGCAGAAAATAAAACAGTAATTAATAGAGACCAACCTGTCTTTCCGACAGACCGAGGTTGACAGCCAGCTCAGATTTCCTTCTGATGGTGATGTATCTGTTGAAATGAAACTCCTTCTCCAGCTCCAATCTCTGATGGTCTGTGTACACTACCCTGTACTTCTCCTTCGTCCTTGTCTTACCTGTGAAGGTGGAAAAAAAAACACATAAGTCATGAAGAGGTTGTCTGCCCGTTTTTAGGATCATCTGCTTGTAGCCAAGTGGTTGAACTGGAAGGTTTTCCCCCCGGAGCAGGCTGCATGCCAGGACCGCTCTATCGACGCATAGCATCTTTATAAGCTGCGTCTTCAATACACATGTCTCTGTCTTTTCAACAGATACGCAGTTACAGCTTTTTGATCTTCCTTTGATGACAGCTGTAGTGCGCTGAATTTCAAAGAACCACGAGTCAGTTCCTCCACGAGACACGGGAAAGACATCTGAAGAACCCGTGGGTTCAACTCAGTTCATTCTGCGTAAATATCCAAATTACTGTCCGAATGTGGGCTATTTGAAATGGCTTTACACTTTCCCAAATGTGTACAAATGTGTGTGTCATCGGTCTTATGGAGGAGTGAAAAAAACCCAACTAAAGGAAACCAGTAAACCCACCATGAATTCGGCTAAAAGATTTAAACTGATGTCTGGATATTATTTTAAAAAAAACACTCCTATATGGCATGGATAAAATAGCTCTACTGTAAACCAAATACATTCAATCTGAAATGCATAAAATCCACATTCTTTTGTGAACGTGTAAGTACTTCTCCGCGTTTGAGATATTAGCTGTGAAAAACGTCACTCTTTCCGGCAATATAACTCTTGGGAAAGGAAGGGAGGTTGGCGCATATCAAAGCGAAGAGGTGCTGAAAGAAAAAGGGACACTGCCTGGATATGACGGATAACACCAAACACTGTAACAGAGAGGTCGACCTTGCATCTCCTGCAGTAATGACATTTACATCACAACTGGGCCTGGCGCCGATTCCTTGCACCTTTTAAAATTTCTTCCATGGGAATAGAGCTGCTGGGCTCAGGTCTGGGATTAGAATGCCAGGCCCATCTTAACTATCATTTATATCAAAGTTAAGACATGGAAACGGTTTGTGGATACATTTGATGCCATTGGTAATTAATAGAGTTTCCACAGAAGCCAAATAAATCATGACCTTATAAGTAGCCTATTTAAGATTTAACGAGGTTTTATATTCATAACAGTTTAAATTTAAGCAACCTGCAAAATGCACTGTCACAGGACCGGAGTTTCCTTCTGCTCGTTCAACTTCTTTTCAGTGCTTTTTTCAATTTTCCGGTTGTACCCTTTCCACCAGTGTGGAGTTTGGTGTGTTTCGATGGAACTTGTTTGATTTTACACATTATTTTAAATGACATGACCTGTGCGTAAATGGACGCAGAAACTAAGCCGCGCAAAAAACTAATTTCTGCTGCACAACCAGCTTCTCTATTCCTTAAATACACAGAACAGCATTTTGGCACAATGGTCTCACCTGTAGACGACGATTGCGCAGTTTTGCTCATCCATTGGTATGAATTACGCCTTTCCCTGCCAGGAGAAAGTTGTGCAACATTAACGTTGTCCGGTGGCGGTTGTAATACCGCAGATCCCGGAGGATGCATATGTGCGTAGTCGTTTGAACAGTAAGGAACCTGTCCAGGAGATGAGTTATTCATGGGCGTAGGAATAGTATTAGGGGGTCCCAAACTATAAGCACCCCATTCCTCTCGAGGGGCGCTATATGAAGGCCCCCAGCTCCCCGTAGACTGTGGGTGCGTATCCATGTTTGGCACATGATGGTATCCAGTAAAGTCGGGGTACTGTGGTGTTGAAACAAAATTCTGTGGAGGCAGATTGATGCTTGATCTTCTTACAGGCCCTTGGTGATACATGCCGCTTTCTTTATCCAGTAGGTATCCAACATACATGATTTGGTGAAAAACCTTTAATGTATCAAAACAGCTGAGGGGTTATGTTGCCTATTTTAAGGCGACATTGTCTCCCTGTAGCTGTTTAAAAAGCAATCCTTGTGGTTTATAGTCCAAATCGGTTCCCAGAGAGAAATGCAAAGTAGTTCCAGCCTGTCTCCAGCCTCACATGCTGTGGCTCTGTTGACAAGAGACCAAAGGTACACTAAGGCCTGCCTGACACCAGCCAACTCCTCAACTCTTGTAGATTTGCATCCAAATGAGAGCGAGCTGTCCCCTTGCGCCTGTCCTGTAGCGCGTCATCACAGGACAGTGAGCCTATCCTGGACATGAGTTCCTCACACCGTGAATAAATTAGCACCAGGGCCTATCAGCTGCACATGCTGCAATAAACCGAGGCAACACGTTCACAAATGCGTTAATTCCAAAGGCCTATGCGTAATTGCG